CAATGACATCTGGTCGCATCGAAAAGCTTGGAAGGAACGAAGTGAATTTAATATGGCGACGCCCTAAAGCTATAGAGCAATGGGCAAATGCGCCTCAACCAAAATTGCTACTTTTCATGAAATTAATTGCCGCTGAATCTGGCAAAGAAGTTGCTGATGCATTCACGAAATTTAAAGGTAATCAATGTGAACATTATTTGGACAAGAAAAAAAATATGATAGTTGAAAGTCAATGTAACAGAACAAGAGGAAGCTTCAAGTATTACAAATTTCATCAATTATTAAATTTGAAACTAGTGAGGGAGTTAAAGATTAAAAAGTTGCAATGTCCAAAATAGGTATTTGGTTTGGAAGATGGACAATGAACATAACAAATCAAAATTTAAATATCATGATTTAAGATCGTCATTTTAATTTTTTTTTCGAAAAATCACCCAAATTTTAGCAATGATAGAACCGGAAGCGGGATGTACCACAAGCGATTTGCCTATTCATGAAGTGGTCATTAAATCGGTAAAAACTTCGGAACAGTTAGCAACTGATGGAAACGATTCTAAGTTAATAATAATTTACAAATCGTTTCAAATTGATATCTGTATCTCAAATTGATATCTGTATCTAAAATTGTTTCTAAAATTGCTATCCCTCTAAAATTGCAAATAGGAACAAATTTACCGACAATATTGGTGACAAATGCACTTCTGTGCAATCATTACTAAGTTGATCAAGTTCGAAACAAAAAGTGCCAGTCAATCACAAAAGCCAGGCCATATTATTTGTTTTCGAAACCAAGCTTTTAAAATCTTATTTTCCAGGCCTTGAAAAATACATCGTGTGAAAATTAAAAGATGTATTTAATTTAATAATACAAATTTCTTCGGAACAATACTTTATTAACATTCCAGAATTGGCACCGAAGGCGCTATTCGTCCGGAAAGTTTTCTTGAAGATCCGGATACACTATTTTGGCTTATTGTATTCCTGTGTTGTTTTCTCGGAGCTGTCATTCTGCAATCTATCAGCGATGGTGATCGCAGATCTCGTAGATACGATTCCGATTGATGATGATGCATTTTGCATTTTACGACAATGCTGCTTTCTCTATTCACATCCATGCAAGTGATAAGATTGTCTCTTGCAGTTTATCTTTGATACGAATGAATGATTTAAGCATTTTAAATGTCTAAAAGAAAAAAATTAAATTAAAAAAATTAAAATTAATTCTGTTGCAACATCAGGGAGAACTGAAACTGAACAAAATGGAATTAGAAAAGTTAATAGATTCATTGAATGCATAATGCTTCTCGTCCGATATGTGACAAGATTTAAAGTTAGCATTCTCAGCAGTATTTTCATATCAATTAAGTAATACCGTATTTTGAAGGTGTTACAGGATTCGGAGAAAATAATAATTACAATTTGAAGAACAACTAGGAGTTATAAGACAGGATTTTTATTTATCGAAAAAAAAATCATAAAAATTTCGTTCAAAATTTCATTGTTTTATATCATTTGAAGATTGATTAGCAATGCAATCAAAATCGAATGCTTAAAAGTAATGTATAATTTGAAAGTCCATCTTCGAGTACTTGCCTGATCGTTACATTTTTGTTATGGGTTTCTTATCACTGTGTTATCTTTCTTATCAGCACCCTTCTTTGGCACTGTTGTCAATGCTATTTCCTGTTATCACTGCTTGATTCATTTGTATCTTCATGAATAGCTTCCTCTTATCACTATTCCACTCGTAGTAATTGAAAATACTGATCAAAAAAGCTATCAACGAAATAAATAAATGATTATCACCGTGTCTGATAAGCTGAGTAGGGATGGTTATAACCAAAATAAGGCACTCACTGGTAATATCTTACGATAACGACAGGATTTGTGTCAAATTCTTTTGTTACCAAAATTGTAACTGAAACAGAAACTCAGAGAATGAATGCTTTGATGTTATGAAGAATGATAAAGCAGCAATTTGATGTTTCATAAAACAATGATGAGCAATTAACCTTTGTAATTCATTGGACTCAATTGAAGGAGCAATCATCGGTACCGGCTTTTTCACCTTTTACTTTCCCCCAAAAATATCTATAGACTAGTAAGATTGGAAGTCATGTTATCTAAAGGTTACTCTTATACTGAAAAATAACCTTTCAACAATGTTGTGGCAATTCCCACTGATTTCCCAGTGGTCGCAATGAAAACAGACTGATAATTTCATTGATTATCAAACTTATTCCTAATTAATACACATATTAAAAAAAAAGAAAAAAAACAAGCCATCTTTTTCAACAGAGAGTTTGGAACAAATGATGGAGATGAGATAGAAAAACGAAGACTAATTTAGTGGGAAGGACCGGGAAGTATTCCCGGTTCTTCTAAAAGTATCAGTGATCACAAAAGCTACCCGAAATCTCTTATTGTCAAAAGGTTAGTGAATGATTTCAATAGAACAGTGACCTGATAAATGCAAATACCTACCTAAATGTTGCAATCAATATTTAGAATTCCAGTATTTGCCAGAATTAAAATAATCCGAAATTTTTTTTCACTTATCGACCGTTATTTACAACGTAATGCAACGTAACGTTGTCGTTGGGAAAGCTAATCTATTGACTTCGTTTTCTCAGCGATACAGATTTATTCGGGATGTAATATTGTTCTTCCACAATATTACTAGTTAACAACAAGAAAGGTGTAAAATATATATGTATATATTACGCGGTGAATTGGTAAGCAGTGATAAATGAGTTATATAATAAGCAAGCGTTGTGATTAACTAACAAATTCCTTGTCGTTGCTTCGATGATAGTTTGATTATCGTTTTATTGATAGGTTACGTAATGGTTGAGATATGAGAATTCGTCCTTCGTTGAACTGGGGATATGTTGCAGGAAATAATTTTAGCGAAAAGGAGAGATACTGTAGTCTGTTGTTCAATGATGGTGGTGGATATGCGAAGAGGATGTTGCAGTTTGCTTGATTG